AAAATAAGTTATTTTAATTTCCAAAAACATGCATTTTCCTTTCTAATGTTTGATTGCATTATGTAAAATTGTCAATGAATTAATTAACTTAACATTTTAATAAATAAAAAGAAGAGGGAGGGGAGGGAGAGCTGAGAAAATAAAATTTGATGGGCATGAGGCAAGAGCTAGGTAGTTTGTTTGTATATAATAATAGGATATCCATAATTGTAGGCATTTGAATCTGAGTAGCGCAATAATGCAAGTATATATATGTGAAGAGGTAGGCAGGACGAAGAACATCGAACATCGAACATCGAACATCGAGAAATAAATAAAAAGAATTAGTCCATTGGAGAAGCTAGATATAAATAAAAGATCGTGTTTCTCCAATGGCGTCAATAACAGTAGCTTATTGAGTTAATATCTAAAATTGTCCTCGACTATAGTGGTTTTTCTCAATTTCGTCCTAAACGACTTTGGTGACCTAATATCGTCCCAGACTTTTGTGTTTCACTCAATTTAGTCCCAGATTTTTGTGTTTTTGCTCAATTTAGTCCCTCATTTGTTATTCTGTCCATTTGGTGTTAAATAAATAGACAATTCAGTGATTTTAATATTGGAATCTCTTTACTCATAGACATGTGAACTGCGAAATCCCTTTTTTTTTACGAATTACTCCCAGAATTACTCCTAAAACTGTGAATATAAAATTTGATTTGCAGGTCGGGGAGTAATTCTGGGTGTAATTCGTACAAGAAAGAGGAATTTCGCACTTCACAAGTTGAAAGTAAAGAGAGATCAATATTGACATTACTGAATTATCCCTTTATTTAACACTAATTTGATGGAATAACAAATGGAGGACTAAATTGAGCGAAACACAAAAGTCTGGGACGATATTAGGTCACCAAAGTCGTTTAGGACGAAATTAAGAAAAACCACTATAGTCGAGGACGATTTTGGGTATTAACTCGTAGCTTATTATTATGTTCTTGTATTGTTTGTTTGCAGCGCCTATGGGAAACCAGATTTGGAGATGAATCCTTCAGCCTCGAGCTGGCAAACTGTAACTGAAAACGTGGGTGTTTCCGCCATGCACATGCAGTTGATGACAAACAACAGGGTTGTCTGGTATGACGCCATTAATCTTGGTCGCTCCGCACTGATGCAGAATCCTAAGTGGTGCAGAAAAGATGATAAGGGCCGTGAAGACTGCTGGGCTCATGGCGTTACCTATGATCTCGACACCGCTAAAGTTGTCAAGACACTCAAGGTATATATATAATACTGGCCTGGCCTGGGTACAATTTATTTCATTAATTAATTAATTATATTGTTTTTATGCATGTATGTTTAGTTGAGCCTGAATACATGGTGCTCGTCGGGAGGGCTGTCGAGCACCGGAAAATTGATAAGCACCGGAGGCTACGACAAAGGTTTTCGAGGAATTAGAATCCTGGAACCCTGCGATTTATGCGATTTCAAGGAAGATGTTGGACTTTCTGCAAACAGATGGTAAGCATTATTATTTTCAAATTCTGATCTTATAATAATTAATTTAATTTAATTTAATTTAATTTACTACGTTGAACTGAACTGGCAGGTATGCTTCTCAACAAGTCTTGGAAAATGGTGATTTTATCGTGGTGGGAGGAAGAAAATCTCACAACTATGAAATTGTCCCGCCAGATCAGCTTAAATTCCCGAACAAACAATTTCCGCTTCGGCTGCTCGAGGAAACCACCGACGGCTTTCTGAGAATAATTTGTATCCATTTGTGTACCTCCTCCCCGACGGCAATGTCTTCCTCTTCGCCAACGATCGCTCCATTATTTTCAACCCTAGAACCGGAAAGACGATTCGGGAGCTTCCTAAGCTGCCAGGGGGTCCCGGAACTACCCGGCCTCGGGCAATCCGCGCTTCTTCCTCTCAAACTCACCAAAGCGAATGATTTTGTGAAGGCGGAGGTTTTGGTTTGCGGCGGCAATACACACGAAGCCTTCAAGGTCACGGAGCATCCGCCGAGGCAATTTCCGCCGGCGTTAAAGGATTGCGGCAGGATTGTTGCGAATCAGGAAGGGGCCAAGTGGGAAATTGAGGAGATGCCGTCGGGGAGGGTTATGGGAGATATGTTGATTCTCCCCGATGGGAATGTCCTCATAATTAATGGCGCGAAAACCGGGACCTCTGGTTGGGACGGGGCGGAGGAAACCAAATTTCACTCCGGTGCTTTACAGCCCGGATAAACCGAAAGGGGAAAGGTTTACTGAGTTGACACCAACAAAAATTGCCAGAATGTACCATTCCACTTCTGCGGTTTTGCCCGACGCTAAGATCTTAGTAGCGGGAAGTAACACCCACGATTCCTACGATATGAAAGCCAAATACCCAACCGACATGCGCGTCGAGAAATTCTCGCCGCCGTACTTAGCCCCGCACTGCAAAAGTTTCGGCCGCAGATCGTGGAGAAGCTTTCCCAAACGGAATTGGTTTATGGAAAGAATTTCAATATCCATTTCAAGCTAGATGATGCGGCGGACATGTCTAGTATTAAGGTTACCATGTATCCGCCGCCTTTCACCACTCACGGTACTCTGAGGGCCAAAGGATGCTGATTTTGGGACTCACCTCTGTGGCCAAGGATACCATCTCCGCCGTGGCGCCGTCCTCTGGCAAGCTTGCACCACCAGGCTATTACTTGATCTTTGTTGTGCACCGTGGCGTACCCAGCAAGGGATTGTGGGTGCATATTAAATAGAACAGAATAGAAGATACGGGCTCGCTTGTTCAGTGTTGACAGTATTTGGGTGCAATTAGCCTTACATGCTGATTGAGTCATTGAATTATCGTGATTTGTATCTTTTTATAGTGCAGACGAACTACGGTGTGAGGGGTGGGGGTCCCTTAGAGTGGGGAATCCAACCTATAGAATAGAAGACGATGGGCATTGATTTTTTTTTATTTTTGTAATCTTGTACAGAGTACCATATAATAATATATACAGTACAACATTTTCTATAAGAACTTATGAGCACAGTTCTTAAATTCTTTACATAAATTAATAAATTAAAGAAATTGAAGAGTGGGAGGAAGGTAGAGGTTTGCAGGTTTGAAACATCTCAAAATTATACGTACAATTGTTAAATTTTGTTTCTTATGAAATGGTAATTGTGATTTCTTTCCTCCTATGATAGATTATTAATGCAATCATGAGTGGGTGGAATACTGGAAAATATAGATGTATACTCATGATTATTGTTGTTGGGAGAAGGAGTTTGTGTCACCAACTCTAGTTCTCCCAAATGGAGTCCCAGCCCTTTGCTTTCTCTATCTTCCTCTCTTCTTTCAAACCTTTAATTTCGGCGGCCTTTTCACCTTAGTGCATGTGAAAAATGATACTAATAAACAAAGTTATAAGTGTAATAACATATATTATCAAATGATAATGTAATTAAAATTTAAATGATCTTGGAGTGTAATTAAAATGATACTTGAACGTGCAAAAATGAAACTAAACAATAGAACTCATACTATAACGTATATGCAAATGAAATGATACGACGTAGTTTTACTTCATGATGCACATTGCAATGTGGATTATGTGGACCATAGATAAACGTTCATTTTTAGTATAATGTTTGTTTTTAATATGCAAGTTCATTTTTAAATATTATACCAAATAGTGAACGACCTTCAACACAATAAATTAACATTCAATGTATTAAAAATGAACTTTTAGTATATTAAAAATGATCATTATGTAAGTGGATTTGAGTGGGTGATTGTAACACCCGATTTTACCACAACTCCGCTATTATCAAAAGAAATAGGAACCGGATTAAAGTGAATGGAGTTTGGACAGATGATGCTCCTATATGTGAGTATGTGACTGACTTTTTTTTTCTTCTTTGTTTGGCAGGGTTCTAAGGGATAACGAGTTGGAGCTTTTGGAGATGGCAGACACTCGTAGAATCTCCCCAATCAAGGTAGTAGACAAAAATTCAATGACCCATGTGGGCAAGATCGCAAAAACTCGTAGAATCTCCCCCAATCAAGCTAGTAGAAAAAATTCAATGACCCGTGTCGGCCAATAATATTGATGTCACATAACACAATTAAGATCCATATCGTAACATATCTATCTATGTTTTTTTTTTTTCATATATATGCGATGGTGAACGACGGGAATTGAACCCGCGCATAGTGGATTCACAATCCACCGCCTTAATCCACTTGGCTACATCCGCCCCCAGACTATGTTCTTATTTTTTCATTTTTTTTTTTCTAATTACTAATTAGAAATTATTGATGCAATTGGATTATCCATTATTGAAAACTTCTTTCTATACGACATTTTTAATCGTACTTACAGATGGTACAATATCCCCACATATCAAAATTTTTAATCCTAAATTTACTTACTCTTGACTTCTACGTAAATTTGACCATGATTAAAGACCGGCCTTCTAAAAAATAATCCCACGTGTGATAGTGTTTGCCATTGACTTTTATTTATTATCATGACATATGATAGCATAAAAGAAAATTGTTTTCTTTGGAACTTGAAAGGCAATCTTGAATCAGAAGGTGTTAACGACATTAGAGGAATAAAACCTTTGTTCCTGCATTCGTTTCACACATAATCTGAGCTTCCAAAACATGATCAACCAACCTTGTAACCATTACACTGTCCTAATGAGTGATCTATATTTCTCAATAGCATCACAGGTGGTAGATTTCAGCAATCCATTGTGCACCTTGTAACCATAATCTATATTTCTCTTATTAATTGTGTTGCATATTCACATTTTGTAGTGTTAAATGTTGAAAAAAAATACATGTAGATTATGGTTTTAAGTTTCTATCATTTTGTATCTATTTTTTTAATACATGGTAGCTTATAGTTTAAAGTCCAACATATTATTTTATGATTATTAATTGTGTTGCATATTCATATTTAATTGTGTTGCGTATTCATATTTTGCTTTCTTTTCCTCTGGCTACTAAGATGTTTCAGTTCGCCAGGTTGTCTCTTGACTGCCCATGGATTCAGCAGCAGTTCGAAAGGTTGCCCTATTTGGGAATCTCCAGATCTATGCTTATTTTCAACTCCCCGAAGCATTTCGTCGATTACTATGCCCTTCTTCATCTCTGGGTGCCTAGGTATCCACCGTAAGCCTTTCCTCATTTGAACCTCGCCCTTCACTTTTAAGGCTATGCCATCCTAAGGTGCTGCTAAATGATGGATCTTATCAACGTCCATGAATGAGAAACCATAGATCGAAACGCCGAATCGGAAAAATTGGGTCCTATCATAAAGCTTTGGATCGCTCAGTTCAGGAGTTGGAGATAAGCGGACTCGAACCGCTGACATCCGCCGCAGGGTAAACCACAGCCTCTCAGGTCCCCGACTGATTCTACCATAGAGGCCAACGATGGACAATAATTCCCCCCCCCCCCCCCCCCCCCCAACACAGTTTACAACTTTCATCGTACTGTGCTCTCCAAAGAGCAACTCTTCTCAAAATCTCACTCAAAAGGTGCTGAGTTGAAATCCCACTCTAACTAAGGATTCTTGTGGTAGATATTGCAATGCTAAGTACTGTACGAATGGTTGTCGATTTCACCACCAGACTAAAAGTTTCACCACAGTCTATGCCAGTCTGTTGTCCTGCACCATCTCCTACAAGGCGGGCTTTGTGCGCTCAGATTAACCATCAAATTTCTTTTTATGCCTGAAAATCCACAAACTTCGAATAATATTAGCATTGGATGGACGGGGCACTAAGTCCCACATCTTATTTTTAATTAAAGCATCGTATTCATCCTTCATAGAAATGTTCCAATTATGTCTTTTAAAGCATGTATTGGGTTCATAGGTAGGGGAGATATGGAGGTCGTAGTAGTGGTGTGAAGATTGAAGAGTTTTCTAGGTTTAAAAATTCCATGTTGCGCTCTTGTGGTCATTTGAGGAGAATGAGTGTGATTTATTTGTGGACTTATTTGGGTAGATTGATTGGTGGTTAGTGGAGTTGGTGGTGTGGGCTGAGAGTTTGGAGATGATGAAGGTGTGGGTTGAGGCGAGGCATGCAGTGGGCCGAGATGAAAGATTGGACTGTGATGATCTATTTCCTAATGGTGTTGCGGGTGTAGGAGAAGTGTATTGTTGTGGGGTTATCTCTCATGAGAGGGAAAATGCGCTGAACTTTGCTGAGATTGTATGGGAGAATGAAGAGGTGATATATTTTGGTCCTCGACTCCAAGAGTTGGAGTTAGGCCGTGAGATAAGTACGGGTTAAGATATAGGCCGGCCTGCATCCAAAAACTCATAAGTGGAGACATTAGTAGCATGTAATTTGGAAAAGGGAAAGGTGTTTTCATCAAAAGTTACATGCCTTGAAATGATTATTTTTCGACTTGATAAGTCGTAACATTTATAACCTCTATGATTTGTCGGATATCCCAAAAAAACACAAGGTGATGATCTGGCTTGCAATTTTTTACGTGAGGTGGATGGAATTAATGGATAGCATAAACATCCAAAAATCCGAAGATGAGAATAAGAGAGATCCTTTTGATAAAGAATTTTTGTGGGTGTTTGATAAGCAAGCTTGTTGAGTAAAACGTGGCCATTTGTAGTGCATGGTGCCAGAATGAAGGAGGTAGAGAGGCATGGGCAAGAAGAGTTCGAGTAATATTATTAATTGTTTGAATTTTCCTTTCATCCTTTCCATTTTGAGAAGATGTATGAGGACAAGAAAAGTGAAAACTCATACCATTTAATTTACAAAGCTTGTGAAAGGGCCTATTATCATATTCCGTTCCATTATCACATTGAAAACATTTTATTTCTTTTTCAAATGGGGTTTTGATATAAGTACGATAAGATAGAAAGATTGAATATACCCGAGATTTGTTAGCAATTGGAAACGTCCATAAAAAGTTTGTAAAATCATCAAGAAATAAAACATAATAACGATGCCCACCCGAACTTAGGGTAGGTGACGACCATAGTTCACTGTGCACAATATCAAAAGGAAATGAAGTAAAGGATAATGAGTCATAAAAAGGTAATTTAACTTGTTTCCCAAGTGAGCAAGAATCACAAAAAAAAAAAAAAAATTCCCCTAAATTTATTGCAAATAATAGTATTATTTTTGCGTAAAGAAATTAAAATAAGAGCTCCCGGATGCCCTAGTCGGTTATGCCATAGTTGGGGAGATAACACGGCAAAATTAGAGGGTGT